TAATATCATATTATTAAAATAATTATAATATTATTATAATATCATATTATATGATAAAATAATAATATCAGAGTTATTAATATAATTATGATATTATTTGTTACAATATTACTGTTATTATATTATATTATATTATATTATATTACTAGTCTGAATTTTAGATTGTGAAGATTGTAAATTTTAAATTTCATTAGGGGTATTATGAAAGTTTCATTAATTGTACTATGATGATTCCTGCATAATCTAAAAGCTAAAGTTGTCTTTAGGCTGCTTCTGATTTTGGTTGTAGATTCTTAAAAAATTCTTCAAAAAGTACTTTTGAAGAGATTTACTAAACACTAAAATTAACTTTTGCTACAAGCATAAGCTGATTTTGAGTTCCATTATCTTGTCTGTTACATTCCTTTTAAAATTTCAAAATAATCTCTATAATTAAATTGTATTATTTTTCTTTTCATGCACCCACCAAGCAAATTTAAGCACTATTTTTTTTCATAATTCAAATTACAACTCAAATTTTTTTATTATAGTAATTTCTCTTATAAAAATTTAAATTCAAGCACTATTATTTTCACAACTCAAGTGGCAATTCAAGTTCTCTTACTATAGTATTTTTTTCTCACAAAAATTTAAATTTAACTTTTTTTTATACAAGGGGAGGGGGAATGTCACCACATTTAAGTAGGCTTTAGAGTGACTTGAATCCTCAACCTATGGTTGGAGTGGAGGAGTTTACAACCAACTAAGCTACCCTCACTCATCCAAATTTAACTTTTTTTACTATAATATTTTTCTCTCACATACACAACTCAAGTTCTTAACTTGAGTTGTGAAACAAACATATCCGTATTATTTTTTCTACAACCATTTTCCTTGTTTAACCTAAGGGTGCCAATTCGTGTTAGTGGGTCGTATTCGTGTCAATCCATTTATTAATTGTCTAAGAAAACATCAACTCAAACACAATCTGTTTATTAAACGTGTCAAAAATGTCAACCCAAACACGAGCCATTTATTAATCATGTCAACCTGTATAATTCGTTAAAATTAATATATTGAATAAATAACTAATATAGTAGTGACTTATTTAATACGATCATGACAGGTTTAACATGTTTATTGGTCAATTTATTTTTTTCTTTAAGAAAAATAAATGAATTTTACCTATAAATATTAAAAATCATATTATTTGTATTTAATATGTCATATAAACTTTCATATTATATTACATATCATTATATTATAGATGACATGTATAGTTAGTCATGTCAATTCGTGTCAAGAGGTCAACTCTAACTAAGCCGTTTATTAATCTTGCTAATCATATCAACCTAATTATGACCCAAACCTATTTATAGTAAACTCAAACCTCCTAACTTCGTGCTGGTTTCAAGTTGTGTTTCATGTCATGACAGAAATTTGTTAGGAATTGTGTCCTAGAAGTATGAGATGTGATAGGATATTTATTAATTATTTAATAAAAAAGTTTATTCATCATTTTATGTGCATATATTTATGAATATCAATGAAAATTTCATGATTATTTATGTGACTTTAAACATTGTATATAAGTGTTATATGCGAAAAAATAATGTTAAAGATAATAATAAAAAACTATGTTCGTAATGAATTAATTAAAGTTCAGAATCTTTAATTAAAATATTACTAGTACATGTCATTCCCATTTAGAATGGAACAGTGTTATCCACACTGTTACTATGACGAGATATTGAATAAGTGTATTATGCATAATGAGATTATGTGGAACATGGACATAGACACAATATGAATTTCTGATAATTTTCATTAAGTATAGAATTTCTAATTGAGTCTACCGATAGTCATATATAAAATAATCTTAATCTTAAGTTCTTAACAGACTCCTATTTATGAATTTGTGTCTTTTAATTTACTCGATACGGATTCTGAGATCCTGAATCTTATTCCTTGTATTTTTGAGACATGATGAAGTGGGTAGTTGGGAATGTTATTATACGAGATGGAATCCATTCCTTCTTGAAAAAGAAGTAGATAAATAATTCTCTTGTTGTGTTGATACGGTACTTGGATTAGTAAGAACGCTCTGATTCATGAATGTGTTTTATAAATTACTATCCATTAGAGAATCAATGGTACTCAATGATAAAGATGTAATTAGAGAGGTTGACGAATTTCACCTAGCTCTAATTATGAATTATTTATGGAGGATTGATCTATATGCAATGGTTATATCAAAATGGACACTTCAGAGTTTAGACGTACTCGTACATGTTCTGTAGTACCCCCTGTGAATACTCCGCCGGTATGAAAAGTTCTTAATGTTAATTGAGTGGCAGGTTTTCTGCAGAAAAACCAGCAAAATTCGATCTGGTTTATCATATTTTTGGAGACTTAAACATACAAACACTAAGCTTGTGATACCTCCTTGGAAAGCCCTAGATGTATATTTCGATTGGGTTCTAGTTTTATAATTTTTGAGGCTACATAGAATACTTTGTGAATATTCTCGTTGCAGTCGTAAAACTGCAATTTCCATAAGCTAGTAAAACAAAGAACTGAGAGTCCTACTTTTTGAAATGAGAGTGCTACACTTAAACCACCTTTGCTACCATTTAGAACAGGTTATTAGTGACGTGTGAGAGTTGAAATTACCTCATTTGGAGTTTTGTAGCTCAAGTTGTGCGCATAGGAAGTTTCATATGGAAACTTTCTAAAACTGTCAAAAACGGAAAAAAACCGAATTTTGATTTCTTGGAAATAGTTTTTCAGGTACTTAGAGAGGTTGGATTTAGACATATAATAGCTCATTGGAAAGATACACATGTCTACTTTGTTTTGAAGTTAATTTTAGAATTTTTAAAGATAACGAGAATATCTTATGAATTTTCTTCTCAACATGGATGAATCTGTAAAAATCCAGTTTTCATAGGAATGTAATTATGAATTAGAAATTGATTTATGGTGAGCTATTGAGCTCTAATAACGATGGTCAATTTGTTTATTTTGAACAATAGAAAGGAAAACGAACAAGAGAAACGAAGAGGGTTAAACTCGAATTTTGCTAAGCAACTCAGGTAAGTAGAGCATGACTTCTCTACAGCACTTGTAAACTTTGTTTGATAAACTTTTTGTGGAATGTCTAGTGTACTATTATGTGAATTTTTGTGATATTGTCAATGTGTATGCTTTGTGAAGGCATGCTTACGTTAATATATTATGGACAAAGTAGAGCATCACGTGGATTATTAGGTTGCTTGTGATTGAGCACATAATAGCATGCATGATAGGCCGATACTGCCAAGTCCTCAAAGGACTTCTATTGTGATATGGTGATTGATGAAATTGTGATTGAGCTGCGCAAGTCTCTTGAGCCAAGTGGGTGATGACAGAAACTATATTGTGACATTAAAAAATTATGATTTTGAATGCGCTGGCCGTTCCCTCGAGCCAGGTGGGTGATGACGGGGAACCTGATATTGTTATTTGAGAAATTGGCATGTGGTCAGATTGTGAAAAAGCCGGCGGCAGTACCGGAAGGGCCCTAGTGATATATAGTGCACATGCATAAAGTGTAAGAATTTGTTGGCATAAGTTATCTAGGATGTTATGATGCATGCGTATGTTAAAATAAGATTGCGTAACTATAGCTCTACTTATTGAGCTTGTAGCTCATTAAAGTTTGCTCTGTGCTGTAGGTAAAGGTAAAAACAAAGCAGAACAGTAAGCTGGGGAGCTGGCTTCATTGACCGCTGTACATATGGTTGGACCGAAGAAGTTGCACACAGATTATTTTGGATTTGTAAATATATATATTTGGAGTTAAACTCATAAACCTTGGATGACTGTATAATTTTAATTGTTGCTAGAAAACTTGATAGGAATGGTGTATTAACAAAATTTTGTTTAAGCAAAAAAAAAAAAAATTGAAACACCATAGCTTTCACATAAGTGACAGGTGAAGGTTAGTTATTGTGGCACGCCCTTAGGATTAATAGTAAGAAACGCTTGGAAGGAGATGGTATAAAAAGGATGTCACAGATGACCCATGGACGCCCCACTACGCGGGCCGGGGACTTTTTGACTGTGTTTTACTTTTTTTGTCATTTTTTATGGCCATTTTTTTCTGGCATGCCTAGAAATATGTAAGGATC